TTGATAACTTTCCCCTAAAATTACTCTAATTTCATCGTAAAGCATGTTGTACATATATTTATGTACATGTGTATTGACCTCTTTATTACTCGATACAAAATGCCGTTAATTTACCGATCGGGGAATCATAATAATTATACACACATATATATATACCTTTCAACTAATTCTTTTTTACGACCAGAAAGTCGCGCATTTCTTTTTTTTAATTCATCTTTAAGGTCTTGGATGGTCATATTTGCATACTTTGTGCTTGAACACGCCATCGCTGCTTGATGTAAACAAATGATGCTGGACCGGGAACACTGCTGCCGTCTAGCGATCAGCAGCAGGAGATAACCGACTATTGTTTGCCATTGAAAAGTATCTACCCCTCGTTGTTCAAAGGTTTTGGCGAAGGTTAAAGTTTGCAGACAAACAGGCAAAAGAACAGACGAAAGACAGACAGGACAAAAGCAATATACGCCCCGGATTCGGGCGCATGAAAATGAAAACATGTCATTTTTGGTAATGTTTACACGTTTCTATTCATTTTCTAGAGTTAAATTACATTTCTACATACGTAACATTTTCTGCGGTACGGAAATAGGCGGAAAATAATTGTCTTATTGATTCAATGAAATTGGAGTTTTAGACTCATGTGGGTGAGTCGATGAGAAGATATAGAATATCACAAGGAATCAGTTCTAGCCTGTCATCACATGAAGACAAGTCAAAATTTATTAAGATATAATAGTAATTAATATATATATATAATTTGGAGGCTGTCGTTTCATATTAAAGGGCAAAGGGTTTCTACTTTGAAAAAGTCAAAAGGTTTTCACCTCTGTTTTTCATAATGGACATTCCATGTTTGTATCAATAACGCACTAAATAAGGTTCTTTTCATTCATACATTTGTATTCCAAAGAAGATATACGACGTGTGTTGCATGTATATTGTGTTTGAATGTATGTATTATAATAAATCTCCGGCTCCCCGATATGCTTCCTGGGTTAGACGGCAAGTAAATAGAATAGAAAAGACCAATATTATGAAAACTTGTGTTCCAAAATTGACGATATATCGCCTACTACTAAGACGTCAATTATTGACTATTCATCAATCCAGACTTCGTTGATGTATAAAGTAACAAGTTGATGAAGTGAGACTGACCTTGTCTGCCTTGGCGACGTCCATGATTTCGACTCTCGGGTGTATCACTGATTTAGGCAAGGTAGACTATTCTGTATGCTTTCTTATTACCCCAGCGCTGCTTTAGACAATTTGACGTTAACATCCATGCACCGTAAGGCGATACAATACAGTGTATGTAACCAAAAATATTCATAATTTGTTTATCAATGCATATGCATGTACAAAAACATGATATATAATTGATAAAAATGCACTTAAGGGTTGTGAAAATTTTAAAACTCAGTGATAATTATTATTTAAACTAGGCACTGTCTCCATCATTTTACCAGACAGTTAATAAAAATAAAAATATTATCTGTGGAACCCGAATTATTCCGTCAGACACATACACAATATAAACATGGCCATGTATATGCATCACTTAGCAAAAAAAAATTCCTTTTTAAACGTTGATCATATATCTTTAGAGTATAACAATCATAGTTTTAATGCTTAGTTACATGTGCGTACCATGAGGATATAATATGTATCACAGCTTGTTTAATTGGTATTTTTCCCCTTAAATTAAACGTTAATTTTTTTTTTATTATATCCTCTTAATGTCAAGGAAGTTAATAATACCAGCTAACCCTTAATAGAGATATTTTCAATAACTGACTGAATTTTGGTGGATGGAAATGTACATTGTGATACGTTCTATTCTTTTTAGCATTGTCATAGTAAATGTATTTAGCTCAGCTGGAAAACAAAACAAATCCTGTAGTTCGTAAGTACATGTACAGGGTTGTATTTGAAGTATGCATCAAAATTGCAAAACTATAATGCATGATTTTGATAATGAAAATTATATCTGTATTTTCCTAACATTTGTGAAAGAAAATTAATATACTCATATCGGTAGATTAAGTAGAAAAATCACTACAAAGCAAAAGATTGTTTTCATAAAACATTGTTTTAGAACACGAAATGATTGTTTGCTCTGAGCCTCCATCAGTCTTTATTATGTAGCTCTATCATATTTCAAAATGAAGTAAATTAGGCAGGATCTGTACACACAAAATTTGTATTAAATGAAAAATGCAGGTATCGGTTTTAATTAGGGTTCTGTATATAAAATCCCTTATTAAATTACACTATAGCTAACTACTTTTAAAAGATTTAGAGTCAACAAAAACGGATTCTTGATCATGCTCATGTACTTCAGAACTTATAGATTTCCAAGCTTGAAATTTCTCAAATTTAATCAGTATGATGTACAGAAGATGGTACGGTTTGAGCTTTATTGTGCCCTAAAAATTTAATGCTCTTAAAAAGTCATGAAATTGGCTTTAACAATAGTTGAGTAGATGAATATGATAAATCATTAAGGAATATGGCATGAGGAAGGGCCTTTCTTGAAATATGACGTCATTAATTTGGTACATTTTTTAGTTTAAAGCTTCAAAATGACTCATTTTTCTGCTAATTTTCCTTTAGAAAATAGTGTCTGCCACCGTCGCCCGCTTTAATTTTTTGATATATTGTGCAAACAGCTATGAAAAATCACATATCTCAAAATCTTTCCGGGCGACGGTGGCAGAGTATGTTTTCTGAAAGAAAATTCCATTGAAAATTGATGTCTTCTGCAACTTTTTAAGAAAATACAGGAAAATGCACAATTAATGACGTCACAATTAGCATTTAGGAGGTCATATGAGAAAAACCATATGTGTATTCTTACTGCACATAATTCCTATGATTCAGAAAGAATGAATTTTAATTTCTTATATCACTTTCATATTTTAGAAAAATATAGGGCTTAATTTGTATTGAAACTGTACCTTCTTCTAATAAATTAACATAAGTCAAACAACAAACACTTTTTTAGGTTTATAATTAGCGAGTCATGCTAAATTTTGACATTCATATACAAAATATTGCGTCACTGTTCTTTATCTTCATTAAGTCAATAACACTACTCGTATGTTGAAGACTGCTGATAAATATTTGTTAATAACACATCCCTTGGAACACTTTGCACTCGTATGACAGGTGACTTTGCATCGGTTAAAGGCTTCAAATATAAAAATTCTTCTCTCAAGGCCTTTAATTCCCACGAAAAAGGAGAAGAATTTCAAGGAATGTACGCATTTTAACTATATAATCCATTTAGTTCCGCCCTGCCACAAGAACCCCTGACTCTGGGTCAATGAGATTCACAATTTTGAAAGAGGCATCCTTATTCAACATAACTATACACATGGTTAGTTAATTTAATGGGCAGGAGCAAAAAAGAATAATTTCAAAAAAATAATGCATTTTACTAGTATATAATCTATTTAGGCCCGCCCTGCCACTAGAACTCCTGACCCTTGGGTCATTAATTTCTCAATTCTGGAAGAGGACTCAATGCTGATTACAATCATACGACCAGTTTGACTGCTTGATGTCCAGGAGTAAATGAGAAGATTTTCAAACATTGCACTAATTTAAGTGGTTTTGGATCCGACCATTAGTCCCCAGGGGGCGGGGACCATTAAATTCACAAATTTTGTTTCCCTAACATTTAGATGCTATATGTCACATTTGGTTAAAATTGGTTCAGGGGTCTCAGAGAAGAAGCTGAAAATGTTCAAATGTTAACGCTTGACACACGACAGACGACGGACGAAAACGGATAGCATGATCAGCTTAGCTGACACCTGTCGGTTGCAGTTATATGAATTTTAAAGGATTGACAAAGAACATCTGGTTGAGATCGAATTGGAAGGATTGCATAATGTTTTCCCCAGTTTTGACGAGACATTCTCAGTATCATACATGTACAAGCTTCTTCACTCAAGAAGGCCACATATTAATTTAAAAACATAATTATATTTGAGATATGTGATGTAAATGAGTACATTACATGAGCACAGGGAAACAATGAACTTTACTAGAACCGATATGTACGAAGTGGGTATGAGGAAATAACATGGTCTAGGAGTAAAGTCAAATGCAAAAAAAAAAAAAAAAAAAAAAAAAAACATCCTCATAGTTACGCACATCTATATGGTATATGGATTATGTAACTGCTGCAAATGTGGCATTCCTTTTAATTCTATTGATGAATAACTATTTTCAAAAAAAGATATTCTAGCTGAAAATTGAAAGTTATACACTGCATTCAATATTGGTAAAAAGATTCATACCAAGATGTTCAGCTGATATAATCACTTGAATTGAAGGAAAATAACGAAGATAGCGAACAGTGATCAATCTAAAAAAAATCTGGTAAACAAAATGAATATTAAACAAAGCAAAAGCATAGATTCCTTGTTACACCAGAGTTTGGAGCACGTGGGTAGGAAGAATTTACACCCGTCGATGTTCCTACATATTAATCAGGTACACTAATTACTCTGTATTTAAATTTACATATCTTAATTTTCAGAAAAACGTATAAAAACTAAAGGTGATGGGAATATTGTTAAAACATCTATATTAACGTTGGCTTGTAAATGAACACAATTTGTGTCCTTCGGAATTTCAGCAGATTGTTTGACGGACTGCAAGCATACTTATCGATCCAATCATTTGAATTGTAAACATTCTTATTCATTCTTTTCGAATTAAATATGATTTAATAGTGATTTTCATGTGTCAATGTATATAATGTACATGTATTCAGGTACATGGGAAAAGAAATTGAAGATAGTTAGTAATGAAAAAAAATATCAATTATTATTATATTTACAATGAAATAAAATGCATTAGTGTTAAAGTTTCTGAAATACATATAAGTTTTTAGCACAATTTGTGAATCATTTTTAAAATAATTATCGATTATTAACTGTTCTTTTGGAAGTATGGAAAATCAATATTGATAAAGACCCATGCACATACTTACAATTTTAAAAGATAAAAGAATCATGTATCATCATCGCCCTCTCCTTTAATACTCAAAAAAATTGTGATTAAGAACCTTGAAATTTTCTTAAGATAATTGATTGATTGTGTCTTTTTATACTCCCCAGTCGAAAACAAATGTATTTCCTAAGGAGAATGAGTGTTATTTGCTTTAAATATAAAACTATTCTAGCGAGGAGCATGGAGAATTCTTATCGTGCCATTGCTTATATTTGCATCATGGCAAGGTACATTTATTTTTGAAAGTCTCGTCAAAAAGACCTCTAACTGTCACTTGTCACTTCCTAAACGAAGTGATTGGTGAATGAACACACACTGCTATCAGAAATTTTGACGTCTCTGTTTTGGCGTAAATAGCGAATGAGAATTGAATCGAACATAATCAAATAGATTTGGTAAAATTTTAAGGCAGCATCGCTTGATTTGATATCTTTTTATATTTTGTTGATGGCTATAACTGTTTGCTATACAAATAAAATGCTGTCTCTTTGAAAGAGCCAGAATTTTAGGGTATTGCACCTACATATTAGACTGCATGCTGTTTATGTGATAATGAAATTATTTTATTCTGTTACATATAATTCTATAATTTCTTCGTTAGGAGCGATCATGGTTGTTGTTCAAACGAGTTTTGGGACAAGGATTATCATCTTTGTAAACGTAAGTTATGCCTTATTGTCACATTAAAATTTCATATGGATAGTATTGTGTCATGATTTTCTAACTTTGGAATTTCATCGAATAATTTACTCCTATAAATTGAGAAATGCAATTACTTATACATTGGACCAACATTTTTTGGAAGTGCCTTTTTAATTGAGATTCTTATTACGCCTATAACATTTTGTTTTTTGAAACCATTTTTTGAAAACCAGATGTAATTGATATGTTTTTATGTTGCCATTTACACTAAAAGGTACGTGCATCAATTATCTAATTTTTGTTTTGTTTTTGTCATTGAACGAACAAAAAAACAAATATTTTTAGTAAATATTTCTTATTAGATAGCAAAGTCCATTACAGCATCATATATTACTTTAAAGTACCTACCTATTGATTTTTTTATCTAATTTCGTTTAGCGTGTACGGAAGGCTATGTAGGACCAAATTGCAGTATAATGTGTAAATATCCACTATACGGTAAAGATTGTCTGCAAACATGTCACTGCAATGGATCCTTCTGTGATTTTCAAATAGGATGTCAACTGTTAACAGGTATTTTTTTAATGTAAGCAATGTACAAAACCCAAAACATTATGGAACATTAACTGGCAAGATTGGAAATATACAGCTTACATCATTTCTATCTGTTACAATCAATACATTCAATGATAGACAATGAAATGGGAGGGTCCAATTCGACGCGGACGCGGTGAAAACATTCGATCGAAATTATAGTTTGAAATTCATTTTCAATCCTTCTAAGCTGTTTTCAAAAGCAAAGTGTCAATGTATGATCCAAAAGACAAATAATTTCAAATCCCAAATACATGTTGGTTGACATTTATACTATAATGAGTTAATAACCTAAAATATATTCTTATAGACACTGAGGAGACTGCCATATGATTCTAAAAGGGGGGTTAAAATTTGCCGAGTCAGATCATGCATTACACTAAAAAATTTTTTAGGATGTCAGGAGCATTTTTTTTTGTCTTCAGTGAAAAATGTTGACAACTTCCTTATTTATTTCCAAAATAATAATTCCCATCCCTCAACGCACATATAACACGTACATGCATAAATTAATCTAAATACAATTCAAATCTATGCCCCTTCATATATTCCTTTAAAATACGACAGAAAATTCCGATTTATATATTGTTTTCAAAGTATTTGTTATCTGGGTCAATCAGTTATACTGTGCCTTTTAGCGTAGCTGAGGTGGATTAAAAATGAATTTCAAAGTAGAATTTTAGTCCAATGTTTTCCCCGCGTCCGCGTTGAATTTTACCATCCCATTTCATTGTCTATCATTGAATGTTTTGATTGAAGCAGATGGAAGTGACCTAAGCTGCATATTTCAAATCTTGCCAGTTAATGTCCCGCGGTCTTAATGAATAAAATTAACTATTATGATATATGACAACAAACAGAAGCTAAAAAGAAAATTAATTTTTAACCTTTGTGAAATGATCTTATCGGTATGTATGTAATTTTATATTTTCAGCTCACCTAAACGAAAATTTCCAAATATGTTTTCTGATTGCCTGTCGTCCGTCATCTGCCTGTCTGTCGGTCTATTTCCTTTTTTCTGCATATAAGACGTCCTCTGATCCATTGGGCCACATTTAACCAGCCATGCCACACTTTGCTCTTAAGTAAACGGCATTCAATGCAAGAATTAAATAAAATGAGTGTCCTAAAAATCAGATCAAGAAACAGGGACAAGAATAATAGAATTCACATGAAATATTTCTGAAAAATTCAAATTTTATCAAAAGAAGGCCCTCTGGATTGGTTGGGGCCACTATAGGCAATACATCTTACTTATGGATAAAGAAAATACAATGTTTCATTAAACATATACCCAGGACTAGAATTCCTGATAACACTTATTTAATGGGAAGTTTGTTCAAATCTTCATCGAGGGGTAAAGATGTTGTCAAAATAGGTCATTATTGTTGAACATGTTTATAAAACATTTGGGGGAAAATCTACAAAACTATTTTTCTCAAGCAACTACTGATACGTTATATTAACATAAAAGGGAAGTGTTCCCAAGTAAAGCAGATACATACATTTTTTTTTCAAATCACAAACTCTTGGAAAGGTGTGGGGCCACAATAAGTAATCACATGTTTAAATATTAAGGAAAAGACAAAAAAAGAGAGAAATTTTGTCGCACAGGTGGCTAGAAAAAATCTATATTTTTAAAAACTTCCATATTAAATAAAGCTTTGAAATCATAATACCCGGGTCCATGGTAGTGCCAAATAGACAGCCAAAGATTTAGGCAGGAATATAAAGGAAAATATCCTTGAAATCTTCTTCAAAACAAGAATCAAGACAATTTTTTTTTAATGTGGAGGAATTCTGAATTCAACCTTGTACATATCGTGTCACATGAGCTAAGTTATGTAGAATAAATTTTATTGCATGACATTCAGAACTAGAGTTTGGCAAAGATGAGCGTTCACATTTTAATTGAGAAAAATATCTTTAATTTTTTTTCCTAAGAAAAGCCAACAATAATTAGTCACATAAATAGCAAAACATCTCTAGGAAGTCAGGTTCAGGTTGCTCTAATCATGACCGCTGAGTAAATGACAGGGTCACAAAAAATGTGATTTGGTTTTTTTTCTAGGAACACACAGGTATAGAAAAATACTAATGAAGAAAAGCATAGTCATAATGACTTTAGTGAGTGATTAAGCCCATTGGTCACGTGCTATGTTTCTACCTCTGCATGAAGAAGATATATTTGTTTTTATGAAAAAATGAGTTTTATATACATCGTATTTAACGATTTTACTATTGAAATACTTAAAAACTGTAAATTTTTTTCTCTTTTAAGATTCAACAATAATTGATGACCTTACATCTACACAAAGATCTGCGTTTGAAAAAAATTTCACTTTACCTGACAATTTTTCTCCCAGTGCAATGGTTTCTATTACCCACTTCTCATCTGTGAGCTATAATTACACAACAAATTACACAACAGGGGTCAAAGAAAGTCCGTTGTTATATCTGATTGTAGTCTTAAGTTTGCTTTTCATTACTGGTATATCTGTCTACTTCATCTTTATAATATACATGAAATGGAAAAGCAATGTTCACTGGCAAATGTCAAAAATATCTGGACCAGAGTCAGCACATTATGAGGAACCAAGTGATCTTGTTCACCTTCATATTTAACGCATGCTACAAACAAGATATTTTTATTAGTAATTTTAGGTGTGAAGTTTTGCATTTAGTCACAACCTATTTTGACGGCTGCACTCAGGGTAAATAGTACACGCCTCCTCACCACAAGCTTTACGACAGGAACTTTATTTTATGCTCTGATTGGTTTCTCGTGCAACAAGTATTTCCATGTCAATGTTGATAATATCAATTGACTAATCACACATCGGCGGCTGATTTTTTTTTACCCTGGGTGCATCAGTCGAAAAAGATGGTGACGTAATGCAAAACTTAACACTTAACTTAAATTGACTATAATAAAGAATTGAATTTTAGACAATATGAACGGGAAAATGCACAATTTATAGGAAGCTTACATGAAGTTGTAGAATTATGCATGTGAATAGAGAGGGCATTTAGCCTTTGTATTGTGTGTCAAATTAGATACTGACAAGTATTTTGTATAAGTCAATAAAATGATGACCAGTGACTTTTTCACAATAAATCGTACGACTAAGACTAAAATTTTACCACTCTGTAATTCTTTATTTAATAAAGATATTTATTTTTCTAATTAAATAGTGACCCTTTCATCACAAAATGCTATCATGATGTTTTAGACAAATAAGATTTTAGCAGATTAAATATTTCTTAAAAATTGGAATTTTTTTTTTTTTTTTGGGGGGGGGGGGGGTCTTAAGGAGGCTATTTACACCATCTTTCTATGATTTTGTACAAAAATTCTAGGGACGAATTTTACAAGTTTCTTTATAATATGACCCATATCTTTAAAACGATTTAAAAATAGACTAAACATCCGATATTGTAAAAAATGAAAACAAATTAAAGGAACGGATTTATAATACGCAAACCAAGAGGGTTGTTTGAAGTAGAAAATCAAAGTACTCAGAAGTACAGAGAGTCGGGCTCATTTGCAGAGTAGAATGGATTTCTTACATGAATCACGTTTATATTCTGATGAAAACTTTATTTTAAAACTATCAATATAAATGATAAGACACTGACAGTGAGTTTTTCAATCCTAATACCACGGTCTGATTTTGTCAGAATCAGAATTAATCTGGTACCACAGCTGAATGTAAACAAACAGGCCAGTTTGGATCCCTCTCCTGCTTTATCTCGTATGTGTAGAGAACTACGGAAACACCTGATTATCAAAAATCCTTACGCTAATGAACTATGTTCTTTGACTAATGAAGTTTTCAAAGTCATTACTAGTAATGTTTATTTTATATAGATAAAACTTCGTTTTATTTTTGTTGCTTTATTTAGCGTTTGTATTATCTCAAAAGCGGTTGAGAGTAAGAACTATATTTTTGCATGTAACTTAGAAATGGCGACTATGGGGTTAACATCCTGCTTTGAACAGGATCACATAAGCCGGCAATTGCTCTTTGAGCAATAAGCCCGGCTAAAAAGAAACAACAGCCAAATCATTGCTAAACAAGTGATGTACAATGTCATAGCGAAAGCAATGAGCTTTATCAGTTACAAAATGTACGTATGTATGGAGGAAAATCTAGTTGAAATCTACAACTTTGTTCAAAAAAAGATTATTTAATTGCATTATTTTCTGTACTCTTGTGTTTTATATATCTGCCTTATTGTTTTAAATATATATTCTTAAGATTTAGCGCTTTCTTCTGATTTTTTTTATGTAAAAAAAGGTTCATTACGCCGCACAGTTAATGTTACAAATGGAAATATCGGCGATTTTTAAAGATAAAAAATGCATACTTTATAAGAAGGGCAATTCCTTTTTCAGGACTTTATTGATATCAAAAAATGTAATGAAGTTTAAGGTTTAGACCTGTCACGTGATGTCGAAGTCATATGGTTTTTGCAATTATACTAAAAATCTTGAAGTTTAGCGGTCATCGATAAATTCCAATATTGCAAGGGCATAAGCAGTTTCAAATCTTAATTTAATTTAAAATCATTTTCAACACAATATGTAGTTTGTGAAAAGTGCTTGAACCTATATAGATTCCTTATTTTAATTGCTAAAATTCAATTTGTTGGACGACAGGTTGAATATTTTGCTGGTAAACTACATTAAATAAACTATTATTAATTTATTTACAAGATTTCACAAGGTTCGCAGTACTTTTCAAATATCTTAATGCTTCTTGTGATGAAATACAAAATAAACTGTGGGTGTAATGTGCTTCTCAAGTCACAAGGTTCTTTGTGAAACAGACAACTGATCATCAGAGAAAATTTATGTGAATGATTTGCTGACTTTTTCCTGTTTATTTCAGCTGATATTGTTAAGTTTGGCCACATACATGTAAATATATATTATAGTATTATGATGAACATTTCAAAAAATGTCAATAGATGTCTTTATTTTTTTTATTAATGCTCTAAGAAACTGATGCAAAAACGTTAGTTAAAATACTTTTTTGAAGATACGGCAAATGCCACTTGGTTTGGTTTGGTTTGAACATATTTTATTGTTAAGATGTTACAACAAAAGGATTGGACACAAGTACTTAATACTTAGAATGTCCTCTCCCTTATAACAATTAATTGCACAAAGTTTTGTTCAAAAATTAATTTACACTGGAACCAAAGGTCAATAAAATTATTCAACATAGGTAATGCATGTACAGAATTTAAATTGATGTAGTATGTACAAACGAATCAAAATACTCAAAAACGACCAGATCTCTTGATAAACAATTGCACATTTAAAAATAAACTTTCATTTTCAGAAATACTGATCGAATTATCTCCCCATAACAGAACATGAGTGTCTACAATACGTAAGTTAATCATTCTAAAAATAGCATTGAACAAGTCGTTTCTTGGAGCAGTGTATTTCGTACAAGAGAAAAAGAAATGATACGCGTCTTCTATTTTTCCACAAGTGCATAATGGACTGTCAATAATATTACATCTAAATAAGTCTTTATTTAGAACACAATTGTGTCTTAATCTAGTATGGATTACACTCCAGTAACGATCACCAGAAGTAAAAAAGGACAGGGTGGGTGTTCTCTGAGAGTTTACACGATTTTTAAAGGAACCTATAGTAGTAGAGACAAAGAGTTCCACTCCCTTATTGCTATTTGAACAAATGATGATTTATATATATTTAATCTACACTTAGGGATGCAATAATTTTGTGCCTGTCTTGTTACGTAATTTGATTCGTGTGATCGAATATTTAGAAATATATCTTTCAGATACTCGGGTACCATGTTATTATATATTTTATACATAGTTGTTCTAACTTTGGAAATTCGTCTTACAGCAAGTGGTTCCCAACCAGTTTCAAAATAAAGAGAATCTCGCGATGCTAATGAAGTTAACCCAGTGACTATTCTTGCCGCTGCAAGTTGTAATTTTTCTAATTTTTCGGAATCTTGACAGGAACACCCACACCAAACTTCAGTTGCGTATTCTAACTGAGGTCTTATAAAAGTAGTATATAAAAGAGATAAAGTTTTAGCACTGACCCTGAATTGCAGTTTTTTAAGTAGACCTAATTTTTTATATGCATTGGCCACAATAGAATCAATGTACGCTGACCAAGTGAGGTCGTTTGAAAAGAGAATACCTAAGTGATTATGTGATGATACAAAATCTAAGTCACAATCTTGAAATTTGAGCAATGGTAAATCCATATTTTTCTTAGTGCTAAAAAATACAGCTTTGGTTTTCGTAGGATTGAATTTCAATAGCCACTGTTTAGACCACCGCTCTAGTTGATTTAAATCATTATTCAATCCTAATTGAATATCATGTACATTTTCTGAACATTTCTGTAAAGAATTATCATCAGCATACAATCTGCTTAAAGTCGACAAATTTTCAGCAACATCATTGACATATATCAAGAATAAAAAAGGCCCCAATACAGACCCCTGGGGGACTCCAGCATGTAAAGATTTAAAACTAGACATAGTATTCCTATGCAATACTCTTTGTGTCCTTAAATCTAAATAACTTTGAAACCATAGTAATAACTTATCACTAACACCATATGTTTGTAGCTTAAAGAGAAGACCTTTATGCCACACCCGATCAAAAGCCTTAGACAAATCACAAAAAACCATACAACAGTGTTTTCCTTCATCAATAGCTTTAACTATGTAATCATATGTCTCAATAAGTTGATAAACCGTTGAATGACCTGGTAAAAAACCAGCCTGATATTTATAAAAAAGATTGTTAGAATGAAAATAATTATAAACATATTTGAAAATAACTAGCTCCATAATTTACCTACGCAGCTTAATAATGACACAGGTCTATAATTTGATAATAATGATGGGTCACCTTTTTTAAATAAAGGAAGTACATTAGCTACCTTCCACTGTTTAGGAAATACACATTCCCTTAAAGATCTGTTAAACAAAATACACAAGGGAAAAGAGACGCTAAAAATGGTAGCTTTTAACATTTTATGACTGATATTGTCAGGTCCTATGGCCTTGTTCACAGGGAGAATAGAAATTATATCAATAATGTCCTGCTCAACTATTTCAATACTATTAAGAACACTATTACACAATAAAGAAAAGGCAGATAATTCTGGTTCGACATCATGCGAAGACGAAATCGAAGCAAAATAGCTGTTTAACGCTTCAACCTTGTCAATATCGCTGTAAGTAATATGTACATTTCCATTTTCTGTAGTGTCCTGCAGCGGTGGAATATCGGACCTAACCTTGGTTTTAAAAACATCTTTTAATAATTTCCAATAAATTTTAGAACTTTTGATACTTGCTTCGATAAGATTGGTTTCTATATTGTTAAAATAGTCTGCCATCGCTACTTTTTTCATGTTATTTACTTTGTTACGTAGTTTTTTAAACTTATCCTTATCTGATTCTTTTTTGTTTTGTGGGCTTTATCTCTTGCAGGATTTCTCTGTCGAACTGTTTTTCGTAATGCGGAATCGAACCAGAGTTTATCTTTAGGCCTAATCGTTACTGTTTTTTCGGGAATACAATTTTAACATGGTTTAAAAAACTTGTTGAGAAATTACTCTCTGCCTGATCTATATCTTTAGCGTCATTAATAAGTGTATTCCAATCAGTATTGCGTATGAGTGTGTTCAGTGTTTCAGTGTGTGGCAAATGCCACTTCTGATGAGTAAGGATATGGAGATAACGAACAGCATTCAATCTCAACGTCAATAAAACAATATACAAAATAAGAGCAGAGAATATTAGAATATTAGAATCATGATATTTTTTGTTCAAAAGGAATGGGAATGACAGTGAAATCTGTTAATTTTTCATAGACAATCACAGTACAAAAAATTAACTGAAGGCCACTTTGAACAGATTTTGGTCCTGTTAAGGATATACGATCCTCAGCCAGGAAGGATAACTCTTTAATTTGTAATTTAATTCAAAAAGTCTCAAAATAAAGCTTGAAATTGAAATATTTTAATGCAACAATTTTCATATTATGCCTCTACGTATGATTCAATGTTCTTTAAAGTTTAAACAAATGGTATTAAAAAAATTGACATTT